GGAGGCCGCGGCCCTGCCTGCCGCCGGGCCCGGGGCCCGCCGCGCCCCCGCCGCGGAGCTGCAGCTCGCTGGGTGCCGGCTCCTTGCTGTGAGCGCTCCGGGACAGGGGGTGTGCGGAGCCGGGAGACCCCGGGCTCTCCCCGCGGCGGCGGAGCGGTCTCCCGGAGCGGCGGGGCCCGGCGGCGGTGAGGGGGCTGCCCGGCTCCGTCTGCGGGGGAACTCGGCCGGGAACAGGTACGCCCGGGCTTTCTGCGCCTTTTTAACAAACAGGCTGCAAAACGGGCATTACCCTCTTAACTAACAGCCTGCCTTAAAAAAATAAATAAATAAAGGATTTGTTTTATGTAACAACGGGAGAGCAGAAACAATAAAACAAGTACATTTGTCTCCATGTCGAGTTCTGTGTGAGTGAAATGGCAGCCTCTCCCTCAGAAGGACGGCCTGTCGCTCTGAACCGGGCTGGTAGGAAGCTTGTAAGAACTTTCTTAACTAACTGAAAAATACCCAGTATTTTTATCCTTTTTGCTCTGTGTGTCTTTTATTTTTGTTTTCTGTTCCACAGTATTTCTGGGCCGGGTGGACGAGGGTTGGTGATAGAGCAGCTGAGCGATCCCGCTAGTTAAGCCATACAAGAAGATGCTGAAGCGTTGAACGCATTGGTTAGTTCTTTGCTTACATTGACAAAAAGTGTTTTGACTTTTTAACCCCAGCTTAAGCCACTGACTGAATGAGGAAGAACCTTCCCTCCTGTGATGAGGGAGGGATGTTGTATTTCACCTTCAGAGCAGGCTGGAACCGAGTCTGTATCAGGAGCGGCTTTTGAAGGCCATGTGTGGTCTGAATAATTGACTGACTGGAAGGTTAGGTCTGAACTGACTGGAGGGAAGGTTAAGGGACCTGTGGTAATGTATCCACCAAACGTGAGCGTAGCTTGTCGCTAGTGGAGAGAATGATGGAAGAGCTCTCGCCTTCTTTCCCCCCTCTCTCCTCACCACCTCCTTGCGATCCCCAGAGCACCGTTTACAGCTCACTGGAAGCTGCGGCAGGAAAACCTGCTACAGTTTATTCGTGACTTCTGGAAAGACCCACGTCTTCCTCTGAAAGCCAAGAATCTCTCGGATTGTGAGCAAAAGTAACCATTTAAGCAGATTTCTTAAATCCACTAACATTTTTATAAAGTAGCTGTAAAACTCAGCATTTTCTATTTTCTTTTGTATTCATCACGGGAAGTAAAATACGTGTTTCTTTTTGCTTTCAGGTACTGGTATTTTACTGGTCTTGCTCCTCCACTTCAAGTCAGCATGTCGAAGAAATCGGAGGCCCCGCTTTCCTTGTCTGACTGCCTCTGCCAAATTTGCATGGAGATCCTTGTGGAGCCCGTGACACTGCCATGCAACCACACCCTCTGTAACTCTTGTTTCCAGCTGACCGTTGAAAAGGCCAGTCTTTGTTGCCCTTTTTGTCGGCGTCGAGTCTCTTCCTGGGCACGATACAATGCCCGCAGGAATACTCTTATCAACTGGGAGCTCTGGGAAAAGATTCAGAAGAATTACCCAAAGGAGTGTGAGCGTAGGATTAACGGACAGGATTTGGAAGAGGAAAGTAAGTATAATGTCACTTGTCCTGGGATGTCGCTGCTTTACCAAAGTAATTTACTGTTGGTGGACTTTGGATGTTGTGAAATAAGGAACTGTGCATGGACAGGCTGTGTCACCGCTAGAAAATGCAGTGTCAGAGCTCGCCTGTGAAAGGGGCTTGGAAGGCAGAGAAATGGCCTTTTTCATTCGCAGTACAGAGGGTGAGTTATGTTGTCTGGACACTTAAGTGGGTATTTGCTCATGCGTTTGGCACAAAGCGTTGGTGAGTGGCTGCCTGTCCTGGCAAAGGCACCAATTCATTACTGGTGCAACTTCAGCTGTAAAATCTGTAAGTGCTGTATTTGTGTGTGTTTGTCATTGTCAAGGAAGTGAAGGGGTTAAAATATTTTCAACTCTTAGATGCTGTTAATTAGTCTGGTTAGAAATTCCAGGGATTCAGCCTATGCGGGAGTCTCAGAGCCTAAAATTGTGGTGTCGGAGAAGAGGAAGTGAAATCTGATTAACTCTTTGAACAAGGAATTTGGGGTTTATATTTTGTAAGCTCCGTTGTGGGAGGCTGATTGGTAGGTTGGGTTGTTCCACTTGCCATATTATGAAGTCTTTTTAGTTGCAAAAAAGAAAAAGCTGTAAGTTCTGGCCAGCATACTTATTTGCTGTATATACGGTGCTTGGAAAAGACTGGCTGTTCTTGCCACTCTTGTCACCCACTGCTTTTTTATTTTGTTCCTTTGTAACACAAAGTGGGTTTTTTTTCTCCGTAGCGCTTGCATCAAGTCAAATAATTCCCGTGACAGGGTATGGAAGTGATCTTTTATTAAAATCTTTCATTGTTGACTGTCATTATTGTGCTTTGTTCCTCACCTCTGTTTTTTCCTTCGCCTCATTTAGTCTGTGTCCCCCATCCACAACACCAGCTGAGCAAGCCTGGGGAACTGAGGCAGGAATATGAAGCAGAAATTAGCAAGGTAAGTCTAAAAACATAGTTAAAAAGCATAAATGCTTTGTATCTAGTTACTTGAATTGTTCCCTTGAACAGCTGTAATGTTATTTCATAAAAAAGAAAGATACTTAAAAGGGCATTATTGCTGTAAGAACAAACCGGTTATTCCTGAGGCACAAACTGAACTTTTATCCTTTGCAGAAGAGAAGAGATTTCCTTGTGTTTGGTGTGAGACCAAGTTTTTCAAGTTTTGTGCGAGCTGGTCTATACCTCCTACCTCACCCTCTCAGTTGGTCCAGTAACATGTGCTGTCTTGCTGTCCTTCAACTCGGTGTTCTTCGCAGGCTGAGAATCACCCAGAGACAGCCTAGGCACCTCTCCACTGGCCAATTCCTCATATTTCCCAAAACTCTGCAGAAGAGTTCTTTCAGGGTTAGGGTCTCACCCTTTCACTCTCTGCATCCCTGCCCACAGACTTAAAATGCCTTTTATAGGTCCTCATATGCCTGTGAAGTAATTTGGACGTGGAAATAGAAAAATGTGGAATTGTTTTGGCTTTGGCCTTGTACTTGCTTTCTTGATTTCCCTCCCCAAGTAACACACCACAATTAAATGAACTTGGGTAATGAACGTACAGAATTTCTCACTCCCTGTGCTATCTATGTTCATTTGAAAATCAGGAAAGATTTTCAAGAAATCTTAATGTTTGTCTAAGGATCTAACAGGTCCTTCTTCTTCCTGTTCAGACACGGTACCAGTAAGAATTGTAGTTGGAAGCAGTAGCAGAGTGCTCTGTTCCCTGACAGTCCCATTGCTGGCTGTTACAAGAGCAGGGGGAAGCGGAGGACTGTGGGATTCTCTGTCGTGGTAGCTGTGGGATAAGATTGATTGGCAGCAATAGTGTCAATAATTAATGGAGGCAGCGTCAGTGAAATACGTAATGATGTCTGGTGCCGCTCAGGCTTAAGGCAGCTTCTGTAGTACTGCAGCTTGACATTCTAAAGGAAATGTGCAAATCCCGTTACCCAGTTAAGAAAGCCTTATTCGTTCTTGAAGTACTTGGCTCTCCTTGTGGAGTTACTGAGAACTGATTGACCCAGAGTGGATGTTTGCCATTAAGTAGGCAGACATAAAATTCTTGGTCTTCTGCTTTGGGTTTTGCATGTTTCAAGAGAGCAGAAGGGCTCGGGAGAGAGAGGTGCTGTCTGTTGGGCATCTCTTGTGCCAGTACTGGTATTACCATGATATAAGCAGGTTGAGCAAACGCTTCGGTCCAGCCTTTGAAAGAATGTTGAGTTTCTCTGTAGATCTTTGTATTAAGAGGTGTTAGATTTTGTTACTAACGTTTTCAAGGCTAACAGTGTAGTCTTACAGAAACCAAAAGGTAGATCACTGTTACCACATTGAAGACTCTACGCACAGAATCAGTGCGATAGTTATGCCTTTGGAGAGCTGTGTAATTAAACACTGGCTTTGAAGTGTGCAGAGTGTCCATGAGTAGCAGATCGTTCACGTTTAAGAGGCGTCAGTTGAGAGGTTCTTCTGTGAAGTGTGGTCCTCCCGTTGTAACCAGATGCATTTAAAATCATTGCTTTTAGGTGGAGGCAGAAAGGCGAGCGCACGAACAAGAGGAGAACAAGGCAAGTGAGGAATACATCCAACGGCTTCTAGCAGAAGAGGAGGAGGAACACAGGCTGGCAGAAGAGAGACGGAGGGAGATGGAGAAGCAGCTGAAGCAGGATGAGGAGTTGGCCTGGCAGCTGAGTAACAGTCTGGTGAGTTAGGACCAAGGGAGCGGTAGAAAATGTCAATTTTTTTTAGGCAAGCAACTTAGACTTTTCAGAGCAAGTTAAAATTTTTAATCATTTAAAATTTATTTTCATTGTAGTTGGAGTCTGTTGGCAGCCTCCAGTACTTTCGGTCCTTGACTTACTATTAATTTTTGAAGAAGCAGTGGGAGGGTAAAATACCCCAAACTTGTCTACCTGTATATTATGAACTGGAAACATGCTGGATGTTTTCAGTGTGAAACATTTTGAAACATTGGTTTTCTTCTGAATACTTCATTTACCCATGATTTTAAAAATACTTCTTTGGGATAAATTGATGTCTGTAACCTGTACTGAAAAAAAAGGAATGTAGGATGAAAGTTTAACTTATGTTTGGGGTTTTTTTTTTTGTTTATTTATTTTGTTAATTTGACTGGGGGGTTTGGGTGGTTGGGTTTTGCTACCTGGTAGCAGTCCTAATGATGAAACTCTCCTTATTTGAGCAAAACCTCTTGTCCCTTAATGCCAATACAGGGAAGTGTAGAGAATATGTAACATTTCTCATTCCGTAACCACCCATTGCTTACAGTTCTAGAATTCTTTTGGCAAAAGTAGCTAATTGTGTTTTGTGTTATGTGATGTTATTTTTACTTGTCATTGAAGAATGACAATTCTGAAGGATGTGTGCTCAGCAGTCCTTCACCAGCAGGCAGACTGTCATCTGAAACATCCCCAGTTAATTCATGCAAGATGAAGAACAGAACAAGCAGCTCTGGAGACATTCAGAAGTAAGTAATTCAAGTTTTTCTTCTTTAATTATTGGTCTGTTTCTTGGAATAGTGTCCCGCTGCTCCATTTGCTTCCTTGGAATCATGTAGCCCGATTTCCCCAGATATTCTGGGGCAAATGTAAAGTGTTGAGTGTGACAAGATCTCCTCACGGGATAACATGGAGGAGAAGGGAAACGCTTGCCCTTCTTGTGTTTTATACGTTTGTCAGAATGAACCTGAAGATCTTGATTAGTGCAGAGGACTGACAGTTCAAGAACAAAAAAGTTGTACTTATTTTTTTTTTCCCCTTTAAGGTATCTGTCTCCAAAGCATCATCATACAGTGGGATCAGCATCATTCTCTAGAGCAACAGAAAGAGGAAGGAGTGACTCCGGCTCTGCGGTAACTAGATTCTTTTTGTTCCAAATCTCAGTGGTGGTTATTATGGGTTACTTTCCCCTTGTTTATAGGATTGCCAACCTGTCTTGCCCTTGCACGTCAGCACTGAGCAGTTCGTCTCGCCTTTCTTGAACTGCCTTCAGGATTCACAATTCCTCCATGTGGAAAGGGCAGAAACTGTGCTTGACAGTCCTCGGGCACACAGCTCCAGCTTATTGCCAGAGTTACCTCCTACCGCTTCACAAGTACCTCACCTGAGCGTCCTCAGTGAGCGCTTTGGTGTATGAAACTAAAATGAGGGTTCTGGAGCCCTCTGGAGAGGTTGCAGTCAGGTTTTTCATCATTCCGTCTGTCTGTCTGATCTTTCCTGTTAGGCTTCAAAAGAAAACGAGCAGGCTAATAGCCTGAACAGTTGGTTGAGTCATTGATATGAGGAGAATGCTGCAGTTGGGTTTTCGGTTCTTTAGCTCGGCTTCTGTAGGTTGTTTTAAATATTTTCATTGTTATTAACCAATTAAATATTATTTTTTTAAAGAGAAGAACCCGAGTTGTTATCCCCAATTAGTATAAGCAGTGCAGCTATAAGTGAGATTTGCGCTTTATTCACACCCATTGGCTTTTGATAAATGCTAAATTTGCTTTATTAGCGGTCTCTCCCTTTTCTTCAGGAGCCCAATAGTGATGAAGGCAGGAGTTCTGTGTGGCAAGATGGACAAGTGGAAATGCCAACACTATCCCCACAGCTGACCAGTGTGGTTAAAGATTCCAGTGCTAAGGATTCGTTTCTGGAATCATGCATGAACTATTTCAGTGCCTCAGCTTCGGGGGACACCGACGCTGTCAAGCAGGAAAAAACACCAGGACCAAATTGTCCAGGAGACAAAGTTCCAGATGACCTTCATGGAATTGTGGAAGGGGAAGGGTCTAGAACAGTTCTTCACAGATCTAAAGGAGAGGGTGATGGAATTGAGTCAGACAGTGGCAGTTTAACACACATAGAAAGCATAAACCGCAAAATCTCTGCTGAAACTTGCACCCGTATTCAGTCAGTGACAAATTCTGTGATGTCTGACAGCAAAAGTATAAAATGTGATATCACGAAGGTGTGCGGACGCTCGGGTGAAGAGAAACCAGAGAGACTGCAGAACACTAAGGAGACCCCCAAAAGAAAGTTGCTGGAGCCACCAGCTGAAGCAGTGGTTGACTTGTGTCTGCTTGATAAGAGGAGAAGAACTTTTCTGGAAAGCTTAGAGGACCAAGGGGAGCAGGTAAATGATTTCAACTTGCAAATGCAGAAAGCCTTTGAGCAGGAGTTCTATGAAAGGCGTATGCAAGAGGAGCAGGACAGGCTTCTGGCTCTGCAGCTACAAAAAGAGATCAACAAGGAGGAAAGGACACTTAATCGACAAAAGGGCTCTCCAGATGAGTACCTTCTTCGCACCAAACCACCTCAGCTTGTGAAAGACTCTCCTGTGAGAAAGGGAAGTTCTAAGACGGCAAAAGACTCGAAGGTTCCAAAAAAACAGGCTGAAACAAATCACCGCAAAACTCGGAAAGGTTCTTGCAATGAAAACTGGCAGTCCCCTACCCGAGTCCAAGTGAAATCGCCCAGCATCAAGGGAGGGAAAGTTTTGAATTGCGTGGTTAATACCAATGACGCAAATGATATTTGTTCTCTACCTAAGAGTAAGCAAAAGACAATCCTTCAGATGTTTAAAAGCTCCGTTGTGGAGTAGATCAACAGAACCGCCAGACACATGGTGGAATGAGAATGGAAACCGTGGTGACGCTTTCTGCTGTGTTGGCAAAGCTTCCTGCAAACAGTTTTTTCAAGGGGGAACACTTTGGGTCACAAAGTTGTGTATTCTGAGAAGTTTTAATAACGTACACCCCCAGACTTTAAAAAAATTTAGTTGGTCTTTTCTTGACTACAGCTTATTTTCTAGCGCTTGCGTTTACATAATTTTGAATGTGAATATTGTTAGTGCTTAAAAAGAAAAATAACTGGTGGTTGTCTCTTAAAATGAGAATTCGAAGCCTTTTACAGAAAGGACGCACATTCCACGGAGGAAACAAGCAACAAAAATGAGTGTGTTTCCAGTTGTCTGCCAGCTGCAAGGCTGAAGCTTCACTCGGCACAACCACTGTTGGTTAAACTGAAGCACGTTGTTGGTGTTGAAGCTGTTTGTTGAATTGCATTGTTCACATGACAGTTAACAGGGGTATAACCGGGCAGTCTTGCAGATATGCTGTTTCCCTCTCCTTCTCATATACTAACCCCTTTCTTAGACAAAGAGGGGAGAAAACAGGTCATTCTCCCGCTGCCGAAGCCAAGGATCTTTCACAGATGCCAATAGTCGAAGCAGTTGCAGGTTTGTATTTCCCTCTGTTCATAGAGGTCACTTCTGCAGATCTGACTCTCGCTGTTGTTCGGAAGAAGATACTTTTGGTTTTTCTTATTGCTAGTGTTCTGCAACTTTATTATTGTACAGTAACGTTACCTGTATTTAGTGCTATTTAATTTTCATACTCAAACTGGTTTGAGTATGATTAAGAACACATAATAATTAAAAAAATAGTTACTCCAGAAGAGTGTTAGGATAGAGAAAGCAAAGGGGGAAAAGCAACTGAAAACTAGAGTTGTCGTGACGATGTAACTATAATTAGAGTCACAAAACTACCATGCCTGGCTCTAACCGGTGTCTTCCCCCCCATTTTTAGAGGCACTACCAAATACTCTCCTCCAGTTTAGTTTAAAACTGACAGCATTCACAAGAATCATAATTTAAGACACTGGGGGAAGCTGTGGCCTGTAAGAAGTTGAGGGTGGTGAAGGGTTGACCAGGTGCTGCTCAGCAAAGGGAGTCTTCCTGCCAGGTTGTTCTATCTGCTGCTATTGTGAAACCATCTTGTGGCCTTTCTTTTTTTGTAAAGCTGTATGTGCTTGGAAGAGCGCAAAGCACCAGCCCACCTTGCTGCAGCATGTGTGCTAATCACCAAAGTTTGCAAATGTTTTAAATGTGGACTTTCTTGGAACTTCATTGATGAGCTGTAGACTTTAACTCAGTTCTGGGAAATCTGTTAATAAAATACTTCAGAGCAATATCTTCTGATATTTTAAGTTGAAAAGAAACCCAAACAAGGTGAAATTTTATTGAAAGCACGAGCAGCACACCAAGCCAAAAATATGAATTTTTTTTTTTCCTTTGCCTGCATGTCTCTATTAATGGTGGATTTCTCATAAATAAATGGTCTATTTTAAGCTTTTTGAGAAAGTTACAACAGGTGATCCATTGCAAATCACTTGCTTTTCCTTTTGCTGCCTTAACCATTGTGCTGGAAGCTTTCCTTCACTATAGATCTGTTTTTGTTGAACCCCTACCTTTGTTTGCATTGTTTTCTGTCTTGCCCAGGCAGTTAAGTATAATCCTTCATTAAAGTTGTTTTTAAGACAAAGATACTGACTCCTTTGATGCTAGTGACATTCAGCCTTCCCAGTCATGGTAAATGTGTCGGAAGTGAACTCTCCATTTTCAGAAGAAATGAGGAGGAAGAATTTATTGAAGTCTGTTCAGCCTCTTTATACAATCAATTTGGAAGTCTGATGATTCTTTTTAACTCGCTGGAAAGATGGTGCCTGCTCTGAGGTGGAGCTGCTCCTTCTCAGATCACGTCTCCCAGTGACTGTGGCCTGTTCTCAACCAATCTCTGATTTCCTGCTGTTTGGGTGTAATGGGTTGTTTGGGAACAGGTCTGGAATGGGGCAGGGCAGTTCCTGGCCTCTTCCCGCACACAGATCACCCCTGCAGCCTCCTGCTGCCTAAAACCTAAAATTTATGCCCAATGCAACTGTCCCTGCAGTTGGAGGCGCTTCGTTTCTACGGTCCCAGCAGTCCTGCCAAACCCTCCTACGGGGTTTGAACGTCTGCCCTCTTCTCAGTTGCTGCCTTGAATGTCTAGCACTGAAGGAGTTTGAATCTCAAGTGTTCTGAACTGCTGGCCATTCATAGGTAAGAAATAATCTCACATGGATTACAAATGCTGACCCTGCTTAATTGCTGTATTTTTCTCAGACCAATCATCATTATGCTCCATTTTGGAGTTGCTTTTACGGCCAGGTCCTGATGTTTGATAGATACTGCGTGAAAAAGAGAAAGGGAAGCCTGTGAGGTCATACCTGTAAATATCCAGATAAACTCTGTAAGGAATGAAGCTAGAATTGAAGTATGTATTGCACAACAGCCCTCATCTTCATTGGGGTTAAACTTAATCTACTTCTCTCATTGTGTTGGGACTAGCACTGTCCCTGACACTAAGTAACATAAATTTAGTGTTAAGATAGAAGATATTTTGTTTAAAAAACATCATATGAGAGTCTCTCTGAGTATGCTGGACACCAGGCAGGGAGCTGCTCTGACAGCTTGTGCCAGCCCTGGCGCTCGGGGGATACCCAGTGATCTAATTCTGGGTGCTCCAGGGGTAGGGGAAGCATCGGGGCGGGGGGGAGAGGGCAGGGCAGAAGGCAGCATTTCCCTTTCAGGCAGCAATGAGCCATGGGCAACTAGCTCAGCTGTGCCGGAAGCCACGTCCCAGCGTAGGGGATTGCAGTGTTTAACACTAGTTTTATCGCCTTTTCTCCCACAAGCTGTTCTGTGGGTTCGTTCTGTTGCTTGTACTGTGGTGATGACGTGTCTCCTCCCTGTAAGGTTTATGAAACGAACTAAAGGAATCCCAGTTAGATGGCTGCTGCTTGCATCTGACTCTTCAGTCTCACACAGGCTCGATTCCCTGTCATCAGCAGCAAATCCTGCTGCTGTGATTCCGTCCGAAATCAATGCAAAAATTACAGAAATTAGCGATTTCAAAAGATCTAAATAGTCCTGAGGTGTATTTTTGTGTGTGTATAGATGCGGGGGTGTGCTAAAGTATTTGGGGCTTATTTGTGTTTTTCCAACATAGTGGATTTTGTTCTCAGTGTAATAATTATCTTCTCACATAAGAATCATCATTCTGTTCAGCAGGACGGAAGAAAAACAAGACTAAAAAGTCAATCATTAGTTAAAACCGAACATTAACTGCAAGGCATACAAAACCTATAACCTGTACCAGAAGGCCAGTCCGGCAGCCTCATCCGTGGTGGGGTACTGCACACCCTGTTTCCGTTGTTGTGGATGTTTTGAAGCAGATGAAATCAGCTGGTTTAATGGTGTTTGTGCAGAAAGAGTCTGAGCTGGTCTAACGGTTCTGTGCTGCTCTGAAGGGTGAGATCACCTTCTGCCTTCAGCTGGCTCTAGTGGCTTATTTGTCCCCTTTGTGAACGCGTTCAGCTCATCCAACCGGCAGGAAAAACACAAAATACCCAAATACTTTGTCAGGCTTGGTCACTACCCTGAGAGCCAGAGTTGGTGTAGGGGTGGGAGGTAGGGAGAGGAGCAGGAGAGGGAACAGATCTACCCATTTTCACGGCAGCAAATTTTAAAATTTGTCTTAAGGGTTCTAAGGAAACCTCTGCTTTCTGTGGAGCTGGCTTTGGTTGATACTTGTTAATGACAAGGTGCTCTGTAACGCTGCAGCCTGCTGGCAGTGTTGGCGGCAGGCCAGCCACATGCGGTGCTCATGTTGTAAAACAACTAAAAGTAATAAAATGTTCCTTTTCTGCAAGTAGCAGATGTGATTTCTGCCAGTAGCATAGTCTTACGGTTTGAAGAACCCACAACAATTTATTGTCATTTAGAGAATTATTCTCTCACCTGATCACCCCTCCCCACCCAGAAAGGGAAATCGGGAGAAAAACAAGGAAACCCGAGGGTTGAAATAGAAACAGATTTAATAGGATAAGACTAAATAATACTACAGAACCAATATTGATCCAGGTGCCAATATAAAATATACAGGATTATACTCAGCCCATTTCATCCCAGGACGCTGTGCACTCCCTGCAGGGACAGCCAGTGTGGGACCCTGCGAGCGCTGCGGCTTCGGGAGGGAGGGAAGGGCTCTGGCACCGTGGCAAGGAGTTCTCAGGATCCCAGCCATCGAGGGAGAGAGAGAGAGAGAACTCCTCAGCAAACTTTCTAATTAATAGTGAACGTGACATTCTTGGTATGAAATAATCCTGTGGGCAGCTTAGATCGAGTGCCCAAGTCTTGCTCCTCCTCGTCCTTGCACCTGGCAAGTTCGAAACCCCGAGAACTTGAAACGCACACTGCAGAGCTGGCTATAAAGTAAATATTTTCACCCATTCAGACACTAGAGTCTTCTAAAAATGCAGTTTTCCCGGGCATTAGCAGAGACCTTACTGAAAAGTAAAATTACTGAAAGATAAATTAATCCTGTGTCACTCAAACCAGGACACACAGGGACTGAAAACACCCGGCGTGCTTGTTGTTTGTTGAGGATGTTTCTCTTCCAATGTTGAGGAACCGACAGCACAGATATCCCCGTAGCGTTGGCTGCCCTGTAATGAGCTCCCTTGACAGGAGCAGCCACAGCGTTTCTTGGCCACCTCAGGTCCTATGTCCCTCCTTGCAGGGCCTATGGCCAGCCCGATCCCTTCCTTCGCCACAGACCTCTGTGACGAGGTAAATCTGCGCAGAAGCTCTGGCCTCGTGTCGCCAGCGTTTCAGTGTCGCTGCGAAGGCCTCTGCTTCTGAAGTCCCCGCGATTAATGAAGGCGGAGGGTGAGAAATGCCGGCCATGAAACTCTTGGCGGCGGCGACGGCGTTTGAAAAGGCGCGGAGGCCGCTGAGGCGGCGGGGCGGGCCGCGTTGCCATGGCGACTCCCGCTTCCCCGGGGCCGCTCAGGCGGCGGGGCGGGGCAGGCCACGTTGCCATGGCAACTCCCG